TGTAATTAATATATTTTTTTAATTATTAATTTATATTACAAAATAAAAAAATAATATTAAATTTGATATTAATATGAGGTGTTTTAATTTAATAAGTTAATTATTAAAATTAAAGTTAAATTTTATTTTCTATGTAACTTAATAATCAAAAGGTAAACTAATTGTTTTCATAGAAAAACCCATTTAAATTATACCAGGCTCTAAAATTAAAATTATTAGATGGGGAATAGAGTTTTAATGTTAAGGGATTTATAATTATATACAATTTAGTACAATTAAAACTATATAATATGTTTTTATTATTAAAAACAATGTAGTTTTTCATCAATAATTTATTAATATGAGTAAAAGGAACTTGATTCTCTTTAAATAAGGTCTTGAATTCGAATCTTGTGAATGGAGAAATAAGTGTTGGAAGAGCTTTCTCCATTATGGAATATGACGCGACTAAATTCTGAATTAATTAAGATGTAACATGTCTTTCAAATATCGGGAGATTAATACAAAAAAATATAGTCTTTAATTATAAATTTTTTTTATCCTGCACTCTTAAGATATTGATTAAATGTATATTTATTGTATTTTTTATAATTAATTTATATAGAAAATATAAATGTTAACTTTAATTTAATTAATGAAAATTATTTATGTGACAATGATATTAAAATAAATGTCAATTTTTATATTTTTTATATAACTTAATTATAAAATAATACATTGATTATATCCTAAACCTTAATCATAAGAACACAAATTAAACAAATCATTTTAATATTAGTAGTCCATTTATTTATTTTTCAAATTCAACTAATAAATACTAATATAACTTTGTTATAGAAAAAGATTTAATTATTATAATTTATTTGGCTGCTAACTCGGTTAAGGCCCCTCAAATATATAGAATTAATTAACTTCACACAAAAAATATGGCAAGGTCGCTTCGTACGTACCGCCATTATTTAATTTGACAAGTAATAGTGGTCTTGATGCAAGCTGAATTATGCAATATATCACCTAATACTCATCCACTTTCTATTTGTTGTCTATATATTGACTATTGTTTTACCCTTTGTTAAATTAGCAGGAGAAATATATTTTTCCAATTGAAGCGATATCAATGTACGTAGGATACAAGTTATAATCTCAATTGAGGAGCTGCCTCTTCTTAATTTCTTGAATCCCAATTACCGTACGAACTCAATGGCTGATTGTGACAATAGTTTTTCGAGCAGCTACATGCTGTTGAAACACCAAGAGGTGAGATTTCTGGATCTGTTTCGCATTCTGTTTTCCAGTGACATAGAGAAGAGGAAGTTTGTGGACTGCTCGGCGGTAAGGGAGGAGAGTTTGCAGCATAGATGGATCATATTCACCTCAATCGTGGCTCAGAAGTTCCTGCAGTGTATGTCAAAGCCCTTGGCAGGGATGGGATGGCTGATCGAGATGTGGCTCAATCTTCTGCGCAACAATGGTGGCTTCGGTCGGTTCTTGCTCAATCTTGGACGAGGTATCGATATGTTTGTCTGTCATCTAGGCACGGTTGCTTCTAGGTTTCATAGTACAGTATTTGTGCCTTGGAGCCAGTCCACATTAATTTTAGGTTTTCATCATTTCTAGGCTTCTAGTGGTTGCGCAATAGAAACAATTTTCTCCCAACTTCTTTGTGCACCCACCCAATAAATATTGCACCATCGTAATCTCCCTAGCTTAGCACCAATTTGGGAAATTCCTTTTCATTTGCAAATGGAAAATGATCCCCAAAAAAAAAATAATTTTTATTATTTTTTAATCAAATAATAAGTTATATAACAAAAAATAATTTTATTATTTTCAAATCCATCTCCACTTGTTTCAGAATTTAAATTTAAAATTTTTAATATAAAAATTAAAATTCTTAATTACTAAAGTATTATAGGAGACAAAAGATAACTTTTATTATACAATTTTTTTACATAATCTTACCTATCATCTATTAATTTTTTTTTCACCTTACTGTATTCATTATATTATATATATTTATTTATTTAATAATAGATAAAAATTATAAATAAAAATTCTATAAATAAATTGTCCATATATTATTATCTTTAAAAGAGTACTTTATAAAACAACTAATCTTGTTGATATATAGAATTTTCTTCCGTATGCACACTAATTAATTGGTCGGAAAATGAAACAAAAGAGGGTTGTTAGCTTGGCAGATCTGAATCGGATTTTAAAATTAAACATATGTATTTAAATCCAATATGGCATATCATATTGCCAACTCTATAAATACATATAAAAATAATGTTTTTCCCCTCTTTTTCTTATAATGGCTCAAAGAACATTTTTACCTATAATCATCAATATTTAGCCACGAAAGCGCTTAATTATTCAAACGTGTGGAGTTTTATAAAGGGGGAAGACTGGTGCATCGTTTATTCATTATGACTAACTCTGGTCATGATACGATGGGTAGTCCTGAATCCTGCCTGAAAAACCATGCATTGTGGATTTTTTTGAACGGGTTTAGATTTGTGAAGGTGGATTTAAATTTCAATATTTAAATTGTGGTGTATCTTATAATTTGATTCATAATCGTTGGGTAGTGAGAATCCAAGTGCATGTATTATAGATTAATCAGGCTTTGTTTAGATGTATTGATATGTAATTATAGTTTTTTTTTTAAAATATTTTTAAAATATATAAATATATTTAATATTTATTTTAATTAATATTTTATATATTTTTAAAATAATATAAAAATTAAAAATTATATTAAAAAAATTAAAAATTAAAAAGAATAAAAAGAATTATCAAATCAAATCTAAGCTATAATTCTTTGACTTTTGCTTGTGCCAAGATTTAATGGTCAAAAATAATTAATGGGAGCGGCTATATTGTCATGGGATGCAGGAAGGATTGAAATTCCAGACAGGACAGGGGAAACTTTCTTATCTTTTGTTGGAAATTTGGACACGAGGGTGGATTTAGATGGTAGCATCAAGCATGAGGATGGCTCCAAGTACTATGCTGCACTTTCAATGATGGCATCTAAAGTGGCCTATGAGAACCAAGCCGTTATTCAAAAGACGGTCACTCAACATTGGAAGGTACTTATATGCCAAACTAACGCATCTCGCTTAGCATTTTTTTTTAATTTTTATTAGCAAAGTAAATCTTGAACATATTACTTGAAAGTATAAGAAATGTTACAAAAATAATATTAGAACAAAATAGGAAAAGAAAAGAAAAGAAAAGAAATTTTGAGGCGTCATCTCATTATTTTTAAGATATTAAAATATTTTTAAAATATTATAAAATTTAAAAATTCTCTTAAAATTACAAATGTGAAGGAATGACTAGCATAAATTAAAAAATCTCTCTCAAAAGTATTCTGAACTTAATGCCAAATAGGTATCTTATGGCTATTATCTGAACAGACATGTCCATTTAATTTCTTTAAATCATGTCTACTCATCCAACTATGTCATTCGAAGTGACATTATTTGAACATATCTGATCATTTCTATTAGTAAATTAACTGATTATGTAAGACAAGAATTTGAATTTTCCTTTTGTCGGATGGACATGATTTATAGTTGTCTCATGTTCTGATCATGCTGAATGATCACTAATCACGCTGTCCTCATTAATCATATGGATTACATCCTTGTTCATTTAATCATAATATTTCAAAGACTAAACTTTAAAATTGAGTCCATAAATTCAAAATTTACTTGAATTTGTCTACTTTCAAATTAATAGTTTAAAACTATTTAACAAGAAATACTCCAAAAACAGTACAAAACATCCTTTACTTACAATTCATAATAATCTAAACAAAGCACACAACAAAACAAACAAACACCCTACAAACAAGACAATCAATTCCTCAGCGACTTAGAATAAAAAAATGCACAACCAGGCTTCTTATTTTTTATCCATAAAAAAGCTTGGGGTTGAATAGAGTCTAGCATCCCTTCTCTAAAACACATTTCTGTCCCAAAACTAGCTTAGCTAATTACTTCATATTAAAGTTCATAATTTTAATGACCACAATTGCAATTCATTGATCTTTGTTCGATGCATGAATTAATATATATTACATGTCACTTAATTATGGTGAAATTTCATATCATAAGATGATGTGATTGTGTGTATGTATCAGCTAGTTTCATTAAATCTTATGTCTTGATTCTCTTACTTGTAATTATATATTCTTTCTAATAGTAAGTGTTAATTTTTACAATTTTGCAGATGGAGTACCTGGGATTTTATAATTATTGGAATGGTAAAAATGATCAAGGGCATTATTTTCCAGTAAAAGAAAAATCCTTTATAATTTACATTCAAACATTATATTTATTAATTTAGTGTTTTTAATTTTTTTTCTTTGTAGATTACCAAGAAAAAGCCACAACACAGGCATTCTTGCTTGAGGATAAAGATGATGATCGTGATACAATCATAGTCGCCTTTCGAGGCACTGAAACGTTTGATGCAGATGCATGGAGTTCAGACGTTGACATATCCTGGTACGAGCTCCCCACAATTGGGAAAATTCACGGCGGTTTCATGAAAACCCTAGGTTTGCAGAAAAATGTCGGCTGGCCCAAGGATCCCGTCCCAAATGACAAACGGAAAGCGCCGTTGGCTTACTATGACATAAGGGAAAGGTTGAAAGAACAGTTGACCAAAAACGGCCAAACCAGATTTGTCATAACGGGACACAGTCTTGGTGGCGCGCTGGCTATTCTGTTTCCTGTAGTTCTGGCTTTTCATGAGGAGAAAATGCTGCTGGAGAGACTTGAAGGAGTATACACGTTCGGACAACCCAGGGTTGGAAATGAGCAGTTCGGACAGTTCATGGAGAAGATGTTAACAGAAAATGGTATTCGGTATTTCAGATTTGTTTACGGTAATGACATTGTCCCAAGGTTGCCTTACGACGACAAGAATTTTATGTTCAAGCACTTTGGTTCCTGTCTCTACTTCAATCGGCATTACGAAGGGAAGGTGCGTTTAGTTTATGTTAAACAAAAGTGTTAGAAATTGATTGTGATATACTCAGAATAATTACGTGACATTAAATCAAAATATGTATAGATTCAGAAGACCCTCGAGTCAAATTAAACGTGGTTTCCCCTTTTTTCATTGCAGGTAGTGGATGAGGAACCAAACAAAAACTATTTCTCAGCGTTGAGGACGATACCAAAGATAATAAATGCAATCATGGAGCTGATAAGAAGCTTTACCATAAGTGGCTCAAAAGGACCGGATTACAAAGAAGGGTGGTTTCTAATAGTTTTTAGGCTAATGGGATTGCCGATGCCTGGTGTCCCTGTCCATTTTCCTCAAGATTATGTGAACGCTACCCGACTTGGAACATCAGACCTTTTTCTTCCATCCAGCAAGGGCCCAGACCAATAAAAAAGGCTGACTGCAATTTGGGTACTACTAAAAATGTGTTTATTTAAATTTTCACAATTCATGTTCTGCATTTTGGCTTGTTTCATTCCTGTGACAAGTGTCCGATTGCAATAACTGATCTTGTTGACGGTAGCAGCTAATAATACAAAAAACGTGGATCATGAAAAGTTAATTCTGTGGAGAAGAAGAACAAATTAACTTTTCCTAAAATTCACTCTAGGGATCTATTCCGTGTGTTGACCGACCCCTTGTAATTAGAATCTCTATGGCTAAGCTTACAAGAAACTGCCCCGTCTCTTTTGTCCCATCTGTGTTTCCTTCTCCTCCCTGACATTTACTTTATTCCCTTTCTTATTTTATTTTACTCTACAAGTTATAGCGGCGATACCTTTCTACATCACCACGTGAATATATACATTACACGTTTAAACTAATATATTTAGGCATACTCAAGCCGTACCTCTAATGTTTCCAGGACTAATTATGTTACCCTAATTGTTGTACACAAATAAAATTGGACTTACTGTCCAATTGCTTGTTCAATTTAATTAAAAGTACTGGGTATCATAAGTAAAAACACACGACATACAGGAACAAAGCCAGTATAGGACAAGGGGGCAGCCCCCCCTAAACTTTTAAAAGATATTAAATATGGTATAAATATTTTTATTTTTTTATAAAATTTATTTTTGAAGTTTGAATATTATAGGGACCATTCAAATATAAAGAAAATATTTATAATTTAGATTAAAAGAACATTTTTAATTCTTATAAAAACACTAATTATATCTGAATAAGAATAAATATAAAACAATATTTTAGATATAGTTATATTAAATATAACTTATATATGTCACTACATTGATTATATATAATTTTTATTTGTATGATTAATATTCTATTAGACTAATAGTTGAATCGATTTTATTTATGTAAATATGTTTTAAATTTAAAATTAATTTGATATATATAATTTTATAAAGAAAATAAATTATATTTTTATACTATTTATTTAATAATTTTAA